GAGAGTTTCAAACCAAATTGGAGAACTAAACTGCTGGACATTGATATATGAAAGTTGCGAAAAACATTGATCTTGATATTGAATGGAAATACGTTAGTTTGTTTTCAGAACTTCAATTTGCCAAACAAATTTGCGCTGTTTTCATTTGTTAGGACAACAAATTCCATACAATGACTGAAAAATTCATGTACAAAATGAGAGAGGTTAAACCCTAATAAAAACTCAGAATGCCCAAAACACAACCGCATCAACCACCAATGATTACGAGATAATATAAGCTATATGAATTCTAAGATATATAGTACTATTTTTCCTATTATGAATGCTATATATGAATTCAGTTTCATTTATGTTTTATTATTATTTGATCTAAAACCATATAAGACTTTGCCAGGAAAGATCAAAGCAATGTACTTGAATGTAATCAATAATGATAATGGATTTGAGCATTGGGTTCTTTCTTTTTTTTGGGTGCACTCAACCAGCTAAGAGAAAAACAAGTTTTTGAATGACAAAAAGAAATGGATTAGCATTGACTTTGTGATTTGTGATAAGAAAATGGCATTGACTTTCCCTAGGGAAGCAAACATTCATTTTCAGATATTGCCTTGGTTTTACTGGAGGTAAGAAAAACCAAGTGGGACGTTCTCCCACTGTGACAGAAATTATCATGACAGTAAATAGTATCGACTAAGGAGGAGGAGGAGGGTTGACTGAGGGTTAACGGAGTTAACCTGCCACGTCAGACAAAACGAAAGGTTGGTAACGTCAAGGACTTTACTGAAAATGAATTAAAAATTTAGTGATTGTATTGTAAGTTTTAAAAGTTGGATGACTAAAATGCAATGCCCTAAAAGTTTGGGGACTATTCATATACTTTACCCTTAATTTTATTTATTCTACGTCTTACCAGACACTTGATTTATCTACTCCCGTTTTTATTGTTTGGCTTATTTATATTAAATAGTTATATTTAATATATATAAATTTATTTTAAAAATAAATATATTCTTATCATGTAGCTATTAGATGTAATATGTTGCAATCAAATGTAATGTATTTTTATAAAATATTTGAAATTATAAAAGTTAGAAGGGTGGGACATTGTGGTATTGGATATAGCTAGGGTAAGTTGAAGTGAAGTAAGATTGCTTGGTATTTGATGAATGTGGAAATGGTCCTGATTAGGTTATCCATCAGGGGGACTTAACACAAGTTTTGTGGATTGGGTTTCCAACTGTTCCCGTTTTTATCAATTCCCAGGGACAATCTTATTCCACAAGCCATCTCGTCATCCTCTTGCCTTTTACTGAATGTGGATTACAGACAGGCAACTTGTTACTGTACGATTTAAATTATTGGAACAAGAAGAAAGGAAGAACCATTTATTAAAAATTTTGACTAATTTGTTTTAACAATACATTAGAATTTATCACTAATTATACTAATTAAGAATAAAAAATCTAATCACTTCTATATTTAATCCCATTTTTTAACACAAAGAAATACAACTTAAAAGAACAATGATTTAAAATTCAAATTCCGATATTGTAATTAAAAAAAATATCATTCAATAAATGTGTTATGTGTCGGTAAATGCAGGTATTTAGAAGCATTCGCTGGAAACCTGATGAATCAAGTAATCCAGTTTGTTTAACTGACAATTGAAAGTTTAAACTGAACTTTTTTAATTATATTATATCACTGTTTTATTTATTTATTTATTCAAATCACACCAAGGTCCACCCGACAAGGAACCTGTGTTGAAGGACCAACTTCTTTACTATCTATTTAAATATCATTTATATTCCTACTCATTATAACTAAAAATCTAGTATTGAGTAGGAACTATTTTCTTTTCTTTTTTACAAAAGAGTACTGATAATTTTTAACTCTTGTCAAACTAATAACACAAATGATTGATTGCAGGTAACATGTTTGCATTTTCTGTAATATTTGAACATGAATTCATAAATAATTTAAATTTTAAAGTCGTTTTTATCTACATTAAATTTAAATATTATTATTTATAATTTTTTGAATAGTACAGGGATGATTATAGGGTAATGTATGTTCAGAATCTTTTATAGTCATTGACAGCTCACACATCATGTAAATGCAACTATTCGAACCGGAGACTTCTAAAGGGATTAATATTCTATTTTACCACTAAGATCATTCAATGAGTTTAATATTCTAAATATTTAAATACGTTATTTGTACAAGTAACGTGGGTTTGAAAAATGAAAACACGAGAATTCGTATCTATAATTATTTCAAACCCAGTACAAAAAATTATTATAACATCTGAAGTGGAGTTATTTAAACCAGAATACGTATGAATATATATATGCACGATCATTTTCTCTAGGTTAGAGTTTGTGTGGAAAGAGAGGAAAAATTTACAACAAATCCGTATGGGTGTGTCATTGTTGGAGTTGTTGGCAAATGACATCGACACTAACAACAATGACAAATCAAACAAGAGTTTAGGTTTGAAAAGACCTAATTTATCTTATGTTTTAAGTTTCTATTGTAGCAGAAGAAATAGATTCAATCTAAAACTACACCAATACTGTTCCTCAATCCATGAATCTTTGTTATGACGGATCGATCACGATTCTAGATATAATAAATATTATTATTATTAACCGTAAAATAAATATGAATGATTGAAAAATAAACTTATTAAATAACAATCCTACTGTTAATGAGTATAATTTTTGTTTCCTGGGAGAAAATGGATGCTATGTTTTCTTCACTTAATTTCTTCCTAATTTAAGTTGTAATCAAGTGAAAGAAAAATGAACTAGCGAATTATTTCACTGAACTCTGTTATTTGGACCCGAATTTTAGACCATCTATCTACATATATTTGAACCGGATATTTTAATTTTATATTTTTCAAATTATATCTATATATTTTTATTGGAATACATATCAGATGTAAATGTATACAATGAGTGTTTTTAAAAAAAAATTAAAGAAAAACCTGGTGCTGATTTGGGGTGTTTGCTGCACCAACTTCTCCTCTAACTAAGGGTCAAATTATCCTCATTTGTCTTTTTTCCAACAATTTTTTTTTCTGAATAGATTTTTTCCAACAAATTAGATAGCTCTCTTGATGAATAAGCAATTTAATTTTCACCCTTGGATCATTTTATTAAATAATGATTTCCCTATATATTTACAATTTGATATACTTAACCATATATCAATAAATAAAATCACATGTATCATGCCCAAACAAAGCATAAGGAATCCCTCATACAAGCCTCCGCCTCATATTAGAGCACACAAATTTTACAACAGTAACACTAGAATTAACCACATATATATATATTAGTTATGAATGAGCATGAGTCAGGTTTTCAACCAATACGATAAAAATAACCCTCCACTTGAGATTTGATTTGATCTGAATTTAGTGTGACTTAACCCGTCGCGTCTTTGGAGATAAAATTTGCACCCAATATGACTTGACACAAATATATATTATTCTTAATTTTATTTGATAAAATAGAGATTTAATTAAATATATATAATGATATTATTATAATTATAACTAAATGTATAATGTATAATTATATTACTTTTGAGTCATGTTAAATTAGGGTTTTTTATTTTATAATTGAACCTGAACGACTCAAACTAATATGTGAAAAAACCCAACCCAAATCCAAACTTAATTTTTTTTAAAAAAAAGAATCTAATACTTTAAGATCAAGTCGAATAAAAATTAATTGAATTTGATGTCTGGTGTCCATCCTTAATACTAGTCGGATTGTATACCTATTTATGGGTGAAAATTATAATACAAAAAAAAACTAATAATTACAATTTATAAATATAATAACTGTTGATTAGGTAACAAATATAAAAATGAGAAAATACGGAGTAATTGTTGTATGAGCTGTTATTTTTAAAAAATATATAAATATAAACTATAAAATTAAATTTTTTCGGGAATACTTATTTATTTATATTATTTTTTTGAGAAAAAGAAAAGAAAAACGTATGAAAACGTTTTTTTAATATCTTCGAATACAATAAATTTATTAATTTTTTTTTCAAAGCGTACATATATATATATATATATATGTATTAACTTTGGTATGTAGATTTCTTAATTAAATGAAGTCTCGTTATCGAATCTAAAATAAATAATGCGACGTTATAGTTTTTTGAAGCCATGCAAAAAGGGCAAAAAAAAAATCCGTATGACGTCAGGATTATTCTTCTTCGTTCCCTTTCGTGCATGAAATGCTTTCCGTTTAATTTCTTTGACCAATTTCGCATATCCACGTTTTCACGAAATCATATTTTAATTATATTTAAACAGCCATGAAAAAGACAATTTATTTTGTCCTTCTCCCCTTATTTTTAGTTGAAACATTAAAAATTATTTTACCTTCTTAATTAATTAATTAGTTAATTTTTAACCGTAAGGAGTTGATTCAATTGGTAAGTAGCTTGATATCTCTTAAGTGAGGTTTTGAGTTCAAATCCTTGTATATGCAAAAAATTTCTGCTCGAGACTCACCAACCAAAGTCAGGTGTACGACGCGGGTTGATTTGAATTAGTCAAAGCGAAGTCTTGGAACCGAGAGGATAATAAAAAAAGTTATTTTCTTTAATGTAAATTTAAAATTTATTTTATACTAATACTATTAGATTAATAACAATTAATAAAATCAAAAGTCGATTCAATTCAAATAATTTATTATTTATAAATTAAAATTTAAATTGAATAGAATACATTTGATTAATACTGAATCTAAAGTTGTTTTAGATTTTCTTTACTTCTTTTCTCACTCTTAAATGTTGCTGAGATTTATAATATATATCGAAAAATAAAAATAAAAAAACATATATGGACAAACAATCTTAATCGTGGAAACATTTTTTAAAATGCAAATTAAGGATCAAATTAAGAAGTAAAAGAATGTGTATATAAGTAGCATGTGTGAGGAGTTCAGGTGATGAGAAAGGGAAGCAAATAAGCAAAGCAAATATAGAAGATTTGAAACGACAGCGGCATGGGAAGATCTCCTTGTTGCGATGAAGATGGTCTGAAGAAAGGTCCATGGACTCCCGAAGAAGATCAAAAGCTGGTCCAGTTCATTAAGAACCACGGCCATGGTAGCTGGAGAGCTTTGCCTAAGCTTGCAGGTTTCTTAATTTTTAACCCTAATAATCTCTACTTTCATTTCCCGATGTGGGAGTCTTGAAATCCGCCATTGCAGGTCTCAACCGATGTGGGAAGAGTTGCAGATTAAGGTGGACCAATTATTTGAGGCCTGATATCAAGAGGGGCAAGTTTTCTCAAGATGAAGAACAAACTATCCTCCGCTTGCATTCCATTCTTGGAAACAAGTAATTACATCTCAGTTTCGATTTCTCTTTTCTTTTGATTAAAAAAAATATTTCTCTTTTCTTTTGATTAGAAAAAAAGATTTCTCTTTTCTTTTTGGTCAAATTTTGGTTTTGATTCTTTTTTTTGGGGGGGGGGGTTAAAAGGTGGTCAGCCATTGCAACACATCTTCCCGGCCGCACGGATAACGAAATCAAGAACTTTTGGAACACCCATTTGAAGAAGAAGCTGATTCAAATGGGGATCGATCCGATGACCCATCAACCCAGAACCGATATATTCGCTAGCTTGCCTCAGCTGATAGCCCTTGCTAGCCTTAAAGATCTCTTGGAGAACCCGTTGCAGGCCGAGGCTGCTCACATGGCTAAGCTTCAATGCTTCCACTTTCTCCTTCAATCTTCTTCGATGCCCAACAACAACTACGGTGGCGCCATTGCAGACATGGAAGAAGCAACTTCTCTCAACTTATTAAATTCAATCCATTTTCCACTGGGAAATAATATTAATGAAACCTCTCAATCTCAACTGCTCCACTATCCACCACCACAAGTCCCTTTCGGTTTCCAAACATCGTTGAATAATAACGAGGAGAGAACGTCAAAGAACAGTGTTGAGTTGGGCCACTGTTCCAACTTTGTCGTCGACCACGGAGATAACCTAACTGATAACTCATCATCGTGGCTTCTTCAATCGTTGGAGACACCTCCAGAAACGGCGGCCGCCACATTGTGCAATAATCCGGGAAATGCGAGCAGTGCTTCGAGCTACAACGACACGGCGGCCGCCTCTCCCTACTGGTCTGAGCTCTATTTCAACGACTCTATCATGCATGAGATTATTTCATAGATGGTTTTATTTCTTATATTAGAAGTCTCGATTGAGAGTTGGGGTTCGGATTTCCCATCGGTTGTTGTTACTGTAGATAACTATATATTGTATTTCAGGCTTTAATTTTACATATAACCCTATTATATCATTAAGAATACCCTATTTATCGAAATATATTTAATGACTGTTTTTTCTATATCAAAATAAATAATTAAATACTTTAAATTTAATATGCATTAATTTTTTTATAGAATTGATTAATTTTATTAAAAATATAAAATATATAAGTTATAATGAAGGTTTACGGTTACAACCGTAGCCTAAACATATAATAAAGATATTTTTCTAAACACAAGAAAATTAGCCACTTTAAGATCACATAAGGACCATACAAGAAAAATATTAAAAAAATCTAACCAAATAAGCTTGAAGAAAAAGTAGATACGAATAGATTTGACCCATTCGACAAACAACCACAAAAAGAGGATTGAACTATTGAAAGATCACCGATAAACCGCAAATCATAATCGAGCGACGTGAAAAATATTATCTACGAATGCAAATCACGATCCAAATTTAATTCGAGAGTTTAAAACAGGAAAAATCAAAATAAAAACAAATAAACGTCATATTGATCGGTCATGGTAATATAAAATCCAACCTTAAAATGAGAAAAAAAGATAAATGATAATAATTAAGAGTGAATAAAGGAAATGAATAAATCTAAAATTGAATTGAACTTTACTCTTTGAATGATTGAGGATTTATAAGTTTGAAAATTATAGTTATTAATTCAAATTCAATTCTATTTGAATTAAATTTTGTTTTTATTTAATTTATAATTTTTATAAATATACAAATACATGTTTTATATATCAAATAGAAAAAAATAATCTAAAAATGTTATTTAAAAAATAAAAAGTATTTTTATTTACAGATACATAACTGAGAGTTCAGTCCACGCCTACAACTTCCATATGCTAATCGATCGACGTAGTAATCGTAAAATAACCACAAAAACTCCATATGATTGCAGTCTTGCATAACATCCTTTTTCTTAATAATTATTATATATATTATACACATATAAGATCATTCAAAGATTTCATTTAATATACTAAATATAATATCAAAGGCGTTAGAAAATTCTAGTAACAGCAAATATGCGTGGTAAGTTTAGTTGCTGAAAATTATAGTAACAACAAATATGAGATTAATTTCTTGTTTTTTTAGTGAATATTTTTTTTATTTTTTATTATTAATCTCAACTTTTTATTTATTTCATCCAACTATCATGAAAATGTGTAAAACTTTTAACTGTACACTTGGTGTAATTGGATCACCCCTTATATATATTTAATTTAAACATATTTTTTCATTTGTTTAATTATATTTATGCCTTAATGTATATCTAATACAATTAACAATACAAATTGATTTTAAAATGAATAAAGAAGTTAGAGTAAGATAACTAAGAGACACCTAACCTAATGTTCCTTTGAATTCAAGTTTCCTTAGCTACTCTCATTAGAATGAAAATTTACACTTGCATAATATTTTAACTATTTAATGTTTGAATTTAGTATTATTTGTTTTTGAGAAAAAAAAAATATAAAAGGGGAATATAAACCCTAGCCCCTTCCCCTTTCTTTCTATTAGAGTTTATATCGTTTTTTATAAATTAGTTCAACTTTTTTTAAGATGACGTTTATTTGTAATCTAGTTGATTTTTTGTGTTATAGATCATCCGATTGAATTTAGATACACGATTTTGCGATCGTGGATAGTTTCTCACGACATTTGGCTCTGATTTACGGTTCTTTGTGATCTTTTAATAGTTTAATCTCCTCTTGTAGTTCGTTTGCCAATGCAGTCAGATTTGTTTATATATATATTTTTTGTTTGAGTCTTTTGACTGGGGTTTTAACCTTTTTAATGTATGTCATTGTATGATCTAAAGCGACTAGTTCAATGCTATAAGAAAATGTCTAAATTATGTATTTAGTTTACAATGATATTTGTAAATTTTTATTATAATTTTAGATACTAATTATTTCTATTAAAAAAATTATTTGATTTTTAATTAATTTACGAGTATACATATATTTATATATCATTTTATACGAAATGAGAGATGGAGATTAAAGCAAAACCAATTATTATTGTCGTTGTTTGGATTTTTCAATTGACGAGTGGGGGGTTAAGACTGGGATCGGGGGACCATTAATCAACCTGTAAGGTATGGCTCATAAATATATCAGGATTTTTTTATTATAAATAGAGATGTAATCTAAACCTATTATCATTGAATAAAAATTTTCTAGCGCCGCCTAGGCACCGAGGACGTAAGCACATTGCCGAACCTCGTTAAAATTCTTGTGTTCTTTCGTTTACTTTGCCTGATTTATCAACACAACCGTTAACGGCAATCGACAATGGCAGCTAACATACAAACAGTGAGACGGACCACCGTCACATGGCGTCCACACCATGCTCCTTTGGCATGTGTTTTCTCCCTGCCTGCATATATGTTGGATACAATTAAACTAGCATTTCAACATCACCTAGGCCGATTACTAGGGACGGTCATGCGTTAAGTTAAATTTCTGATCTATTTAAATCTGACTTGAAAATTAAATACTTCCATTCACATCCGATTTAATTTGGATTTAAAAGAATTTTATCCAATCCGAAATCAACCTGAATTTTTAGGTTAAAACTCACATCCAATAGGACTCCAAATAAATATATATAATTTTTATTAGATAAAACAATAATTTGATTGAAAAAATAATATAGAAAATTAGAAATATATATTATTATAATTATCCTTAAACATATAAAGAATAATTATAATATTATATCAGATTGAGTCATGATGAAATGCCCAACCCTACCAATAACTGGTTTTACTCCAACATTATATATGTATTAGATACAAGAATATATTTGATATACAGTTGTGGATCTACTAATTGTTTGAATTTCATTTTTTTTGATTAATTATTTATTTTGCCGATTGTATTCATCTTAAATTTTATTTATGCTCATTGTGTACAAAAAAAATTACGTTGTTAATATATAGAGAAAATAACCTCAGTAACAAAAAATGCATTATAATATACGAATTTAACCAACTTTTTTTGGATTTGCCAAAATGACCAACAAATTCGCAACGCGAGCTCAAATTTCGCAACCCAATTTCCAATTTGGCAACGCGAATATGTAAATCGCAACACAGAAGTCAAATTCGCAACGCGATAGTCAAATTCGCAACGCGAAAGTCAAATGTTTTTACGCGAAACACAATATTAATTTCGTAACACAAATGTAAACAGTATTATTGCAAATCATCTCTAACCTAAAACCCTAAAGCACAACTCAACCCCATCTCCATCTCTCACTCTCTATGGCGACATCCGTCCCCATCTCTGACGAAATTCATCCCCATTTCCGACGAAATCTGTCTATCTCCATCTCTCAGAGCAACCCTCACAACCATTCACGGTCAGAAATGGAAAATCAACCACCGAGGGTTAGTTTTTTAATTATTTTTATTTTGAAATTTTTGTATTATTATTAGATTAATCATTTCACTGATATTGCTAAATTCATTCGGCTGCTGCCAATACTGCTAAACTGTTTAGTCTTTAACCATGTGAAGTTAGTATTTGTCTTTGTTTTGTCTTTTTGTTTTGTTGAAGAAACCCTAAATTGCAACACCAAATTCACAACACGAAAATGAAAATCGCAACGCGAAACTAAAATCGAGTTGCGAATTTAAGTTTCAGAAACTTCTTTTATTCTGCAAATTGAAACTTGAATGAATTGCATTTCTTCAACCAAAAAGCAAAGACAAATACTAACTTCACAGTGTTGCTAATTTAAGTTTCAAGAATAAACTACTACTCTTTACGTTGTCCTTGAACCTGCACTAAACCTATATGTTGTCCTTTTAAATGTTTATATAAGTGCTTACTTCTGGAATGTTATCTGATGCATTTTGTGAACTATGATGGAATAATGACTTGAGTGAATACCGTGCTAGTTTGAAACATATTTGGCTTTGTTTTCACTGTTTAATATCATGTATGTTTATAGTGTATAATTTGTAGTTTTTGGTATATCTAACTTGGTATGTTTATTGTTTTTATAGAAATTTTTTTCGGCTGCATTGACCTTAAGGAATAAATTAAGCCTAGCCACTAAAATTGCGTCGATGCTTACACCTATAGAAAGAAAATTGATTGAGGATACTTGCTTCGGGCCATGGCTGAAAGTGCAACATACGGGTGGAGATGCTATGTTGACACATTTGTTTCTTCAGACCATGACTAACGATCTACCCGAGGGGGTACAACGTGGTGATGAGGAGATATGGTTTCATTTTCCTCCGGCACCGACGTATATTTGTTTTGGGCAGGAGGAGTTTTGCTTAATCACCGGTCTACGCTTCGGACACGATGATGTAGGTCGGTACACTAGTCATATCGCCCGCCCATCATGGTTATATCGGGTTTTTCCTGAGCTGGCAAAGTCGAAGCCGAGTATACACGTCGACGACTTGAAGAGATTATTTGATAAAGATGGTTTTACTCGGATGGATGACCTTGATGTTGTCCGAGTATGCCATTTATTACTTTTGCATGCCCATTTTTTAGGCAAAGAGGGCAGATAACCAATCTCCGAGGACCTAAATGCATGGAACTTGTTTCCGTGGGGTTCATATCTATGGAAAGCTACCTGGAAGAAGTTGTCGTCTGCCTTTGAGGACCGAAAAAGTTTGCGGGGCGATGGTTCTAAATACACTTTGATAGGCTTTACTTGGGCCTTTAAGGTAAGAATTTCTATATAATGTTTCCAAAATTATAATTAATTATTTAACAATTACTAATGTTTGTGTATTATATTGTTTTGTAGATTTAAATATTTGAGGTTTTCCCCAGCATACAGACATATACGATAAAAAGATCAAATGATATTCCTAGGGCTATTACCTGGAAGAGGATCCGCATGTTGTATTGAGAAGATTTACTCCCATATACAACGATGAATTATGTAAGTTAACACATAAATAATATATGGTATATATAAACAAGTTATTACTAGTACAAGTTTAACTTTATTTGAGCTTTTATATTGTTAGGAGGGCAACTATCCATTACAGAGGCT